CTGTTTAGTTGTCGTCGTCTTCTTCCCTGTAGGTAAGGGACACCTTGTAGATAGAGTTCATATTACTTTCGTACGGGAGATCAATACGTGCACAAAATATAAAAGTATCACTTCTACGTGTAGACTCGGGACTTAGTCTANTCGAAAATCTTCAAATGAGAGGTTTCGTTAAAGTAAGCTACTTCTAATTTTCAAGTTCACTTAATATTCTTAAAATGTAACTAATATTTTAACTGATATATCTAAATTGGAAAATGGTTAGAAAACGAGAATAACCTGAAAATTAATTCAGAAATCATATTTCCTGGCCAAACTACAATTCCTCCTATTAATTCTCATCAAAGTTTTTCCTGAAGAACACTTAATATTGGAAATTAAAATTAAAAAATATTTAATTAAAAAAATTTAATTAAATATTGAAATAAAATATTCTTGAACACAAGTTTATAATTTTGAAAAATCTATAAACATATATTTTAAAGAGCGCATATAACTTGCAATTGAATATTCAATTTATTAAAATATATATGTATACGGAAACAATGATTAGGAATAGCGAAAAAATTTTTTTAGATTATGTTAAATTTCGATCAATATCATATCAAAATTTTACCCAAAATATCTTCAAAATTCAAAAATTATGTTTGTTAATTAGGTATTTGTTATCAAATCAGTATGTAATTTAATTAATTATTCTATACTTTTACTTCACCTGCTCTATTGTATATAACACAGAGAAAGTTTTGGGATCGGTTGAAAAATGATCCCCAAGATTTTAATATTTTTTGGGACTCGCGAAATTATGAAACGTCAATAAACGCGAAAATTAGGGTATTTTTGTATACCTCGCTTAACTAGCATCTCGCACAACGAGTATTTCGCATAACAAGCAGAACAAATTGTAAAAATTTGCCTCTCTTAACGAGCGACGTTTCGCATAACGAGTGACGAGGAGAGGGGAAGACCCGAATTTTGCGCTCGCTCCATCAGTTTGTGTTTAGCACTCGTACTGCTAGCATCTTAGTGTCGCTTGTAATCACATATTTTTCCAAACTTGTGTTCACACATATTACTTATACACATCAACAACCATAGCCCATTACATAATAAACACGAAAAACGATATGCCAAATTCTTGGGCTACGTAAAGGCTATAATTAAATAATAGCAATTACAGTAGACCCCCCTATAACGCTTAGATACGTTCCACGTTAATCAAATTTTACGTTGTAGGAATGATTAAATACATGAGCCAATCGCAGCCCGATAGGTGGGAAGTATACGGACTAAGGCTGTTTGAAAGGTTTTCTTCTATAAAATTAACGATTCTAGAATAATTCCACTCAACATTTCCAAAACACGTATAATTTTTTGGGAATAAACCGTATAAACTATGCTATAAACAAAAAATTATAGGATTACTTACCGAGTGTGCACCATTCGACTACGCCCGTTGTTCAAAGCTTGTCTTCGTCGCGGAACAGCACACGAAACGGCGGCCGCGATTTCTGATAAATAATTTTTCGCAGAAAAATAACTTGACCTTTGGAGACATCATTAATATAAATAATTTTTATGGCCGTTGAATAAGAAGTGTTTCTTTCACAAGAAATGTATAAAATTAGTGCTGTATTAGACTTACGGTACCTAATTTACATACTGTACAGACGATAATAAACTCAACTTACTAGCCTAAAATCTCCGTAGCGTGTTGCCAGGCGGCAGAAAGCATATATATAATTATAATAAAGTTACAATAAATTAAGTTAATATATAATTATATATACAGTACCTAATTTATATATAATTAATATATAATTATATGTATAGTACCTAATTTATATATAATTTATATATAATACTGTACAGACGATAGCAAACTCAATTTAGCCGCTCCGTAGCGTGGCGCAGGGTCGGAGGAAAGTAGTTCGGCTGCTCATCCACTATTGGTCCAGATTCTATCAATCTTGTCGCGAAACAACGTTTTAGGAGGTACTTTATACGAATGTTGCTACAATTTTTTCGCTACGTTATAGGAGTTGTCGTTATAGGAACGCACGTTATAGGGGGTCGACTGTAATTAATTTGACTAGAGGTAGGCAGTCTTTGAATAAATGTTACACATAAAACATTTGAGTATTTTTATCGGTGTGAAACGCATTATCGTATTTTACATTAATTTCTATGGGGAAAATTGTTTCGCTTAACGAGTGTTTTGCATTACTAGTACGACCTGGAACTAATTATGCTCGTTAAGCGAGGTTCTACTGTATATTGATGTTAGTGTTTATGTGTGCGTGTGCGTGATTGACACATTTTTATTCACCCTCATCGAAGCTTAATAACTTCTTTGATCTTTGTCGAAAATCTATGAAATTTTGCAGGGAGGATTGATTAGCGGGATTGATGCTAATAACTTTTTGTGGTTAAGGGTGGTGATATAGACAAAGTCGTGTCATATGTTGAGTAGGGTCGGACTTAAGTCTTAAATCTAAGAATTATATTGAATTATTTGTAACACTCCTTTTGAACACAAGAGGCTAAATTCTGCCTTTGGACTCTCAAAATGCCTATGCGTAAAAAATTTATTTTCGCTTCATTGTGCTTAGTGACTGAATAATCTCAATTATTGTATATAATTTATAATAATATATTTTTAAGTTAATAGGTAGCATTCAACATTAGTTACTTTTCAAGTAATAATTTTAATACCGAATATACTGTTACTGGTATATGATTACATAAGAATTGTAAAATCACTATTTTTAAATATACAGGGTGGAAAGGAAAGTAACTTAACACCTCTGTTACAGAATACAGTATGTATCCAATGTTAATTCGCTGGTGTAAAGTACACACTACACCAAGGGGGAAATGGATTGGCTGCGTTCAGCAGACTCAACAGTTCGGAAAGTATTTTACTGCTGAATGCTTTCTACAGTAGCGTTGTTTCGAAACAAGTTTGGTGTTTTGATAAACCGACACAGATTATCTTTTGTGTCCAGTTCCTTGTCTCGGATTTCATTTTTGTTCTGCCATATTATAAAGGTTTTTCGCTTTTATTTAAATATTAATTTTATCCAGTTTGATGTTACATTAATATGCCAAACGTGCAACCCCGAAGGCGACCGAGGAATCTTTCCGAAATGCCAAATAATATTGGGTGAAATAAATCGAAATCTTAAGAATTTGATTTATTTCATCCGATCGCCGAAAATGGACAAAAATATATTTATCAACTTATTCAAACGAGTTTCATGCAATTTTCGGAGATCGTCAAGCCTCAACACTTTTTTTTTAACTCTTCCCGCCCTTTGACTGGACACTAAGAGGGCCTTTTTTAGCAAGACCGTTATGGGTTCAGCCAGGCCCACAATGGGGCGGCCAGATGCTGAGGGACGAGGCCCGACGTATCCGAACAGATCACCCCTCGAAAAATTCCTGGGGAATTTTCAATCCGTCCAGATTTGATTCCGGTTCCCATTAACGGTAGGATGTCACCTTGACCATTCGGCCACCCGGCCTTCTAAGCCTCAAAACGTAAAATTTAATATCGTCTTTTACCTCTCCACTGTGGTCATTCTGCACGATGTAAATGCAGAAAATAACTTGTCAAAATCCGAACTCAAGAAAATGATTGAAGCAAAATTTAAAAAATATCTTATAGTCGAAATGGGTTGATGATGATAATAAACGCAGAGCCTAAACGGTTATGAATTGAATGTTGATACACAGTTAGGATACGTCATGAGAATGCACACTAAGAAGGGATTTTTGTAAATTCCTTTACGGGGGAGAGGGAGAGAGTTAAATAAGGCTTGCCTTGAAAAACTCGGCTTCTACTGTACTATTTTAGATTCATTTTTTGCATCTTTTCGGAAAATCGAACATATTTTTAGACCTATCTAAAAATCCTCTAATTAGTCTAGGAAGAGGGAGACCTAATTCTTGCATTTGGTGAAAACGGGTAAGATTGGCTACATAACTATAAAGGTTATCTTAAGGGTTTATTACACCGAATGACCAATCTGACACATTTAAAAATTCTTTATACCTTTACTGTGCATAATTTAGAGAATTTTAAAACATCTGTTAGATTGCATTTGGTATGATAAACTCTTATATAAGATAACCTTTGTAAATATAAATCAAATACTATAATATAGTGGAGGGCTTTGAAGTAGGAAATAATGTGATAATCTTAACCTTTTCTTATTCACTTAAATGTATTATAAAGATACACGAAAAATAATTTTCAATTTGATCCGACTTGTTGAGGATAAAAAACTTTAAAATATTATAAAGGTAAGGATTCTGTGTAAAAGAAAGTTTTTGTTGCTAGTGATTCTATGGTAAAACATAGAATCACTAGCAGATGACCCCGGCGTTGCCCGGGCAAAAAATAGCAACAAAGATTAAGATTATTATATTATTTTGTACTTCTAACTCTTCGACTATATTATATTATGGTATTTGATTTTTATTTACAAATATTATCTTGCGTAAGGGTTTATCACACCGAGTGCCCAAAGTAACACATTTAACAATTTTTTTAAATTGTGGAATTTCTCGAGACGAAGAAATCTCGTAAGATAGCTTTGCAAACTAATTACCAATTGCAAATACTAATCTTTGAAAAGTGGAACACATAAAAGCACAGTGACCAAAGCATTATTACATTTATTTTAATAAGCAGTTACACCAAATGAGATGATTGGAAATCAGAAGATTAGATATGGTTGTCATAGACTTAACAATATTGTTGCAGTGTATAAAGGTATTAATACGGTATACAAAAAGAGAGAAGTAATCGCGTGGTGAAGATTATTTGTTTATTTTTATTTATTGAAAAATACACATACTGTCATTTTTTATACGAGTTGTAATTCTTCTAACAAAATATAATTTAAGTTTTAAATCTTCAATACGAAATTCATTAAGAAAATACATTTATATTCTGGTTACTTGATGATGATCTCGAAAAGCAAATTGAAAAATAATCATTCGAAAGAGTCTTCTTTCGATATACAAGTAAGCTTTGGCTGATAAAAAAAGAATTTTATTGTATTAAATAATTTTATACATATTTTCATCAATGGATAAAAATCATAATGATATTTACATTCGGTGAAACAACCATTGACTTCTTGCTTTTGGTCTTTTCTCTTATCCACAGAACAGCTACGAATAAGAGTGCCATAATTAGTCCTCCTAAATAACACAGAAACACGCCAGCTAAATTTTTTATATCCATTTGAAGTTCTTCGCTTTTAATTCTATTGTCTGAAATTTAAAAACATTAAATTTTTGTAAACTTGCACATCGTTTGGAATAATTTTATATATTACCGGGACAACTATTGATAAACCATCTTTTATTCAAAAAATCCACATATCCTTCTTCTCTTAGCTTTAAGACAGACGATGTGAATTGTTTCTCAAACGGTGAACCTTTAGGCAAACCAAGACCATAATTTTGCTGTTAAAATAAAAAGACTATAAGCTACAGCACATATTCATAGAAATGAATAATAAAATTATTTGATTTAGTTTTAAGAAAAATTTGTCCTTGTCGGTATTGTAACACATTTTTGTAATAATAACACAAGAAAAAGGTTAATCAAGCCGATCTGATAGCACGCTCCACAAAAGCAAATGAAATATTAATCTTGTATAAAATAAATTTTATAAATTCTTGAAATCAAGTAGTAGTTCAAAAAATTTTTTCATTTAACATACAGTAAGGAATGTGGTTTACAGACGTATTATCTATATATGTATATATATATATATATAAACTATATTACATACAAATGTACGAACAAATAAAAACCCAACGAAGCGGGTCCTTGCAGGTAGTTTAAATATAAAAATTAAAACTAATGGTTTAGAACGTAATTTTTAATCGTTAATTTAACACTTCAATACTATAGTGAAGCGTACTAACAAAAGAGTAACATTAAGGTTGTCTTTTGATAAAATGTTAATTATTATTAGTGTTTTAAATAATTTACTAATCCAAATAATCTTCCAACTCGTTCGACATTGCATGGCTTCTGCATAACAGCGTAATCCAAAACTGGTGAATCATGTATAAAAGCAAAACGATCCTTGTGTCCTGAAATATTATAAACACAATTCAATTATTTTCTTATTGGAGCAAAAAGAAATACAGTACGTTATTATTTTAATAAGTTGATGTGATTAGGTAACTCGTGCATCATTTTTTAATTCATATTTTTATGTTTTACCTTCTGGCAAATAATACGATGCTCTAACTCTCTCTATGCCCTCATAGGGATCGTTTACAAAAGTATTTTCCTTTCTAATCATTTTGTAAGCTATTTTATGCATTTCGTAATGACTGTTGGCAAAGAAGATCTCAATATGAGAATCTTTAAGCAGTCCAAATGGAATTGTATCGAATTTCACTAAATCTTCCAGAGAATTAACTGCTAAAAATAGAGTATTTATGAAAATAATCGTTTTAAAATATTTACTTAAATGATTTTGTTACCTTGTTTCATATTTTGGACTGTCATAAATGCTGCTAATTTTGCTGTATATGCAGCAATAAGAATAACCGTAGTTAACCACCAAGTCACCATTACAATTCTTGCCGGAAGATTATTTTTTTGTTCAAATTCTGTTCCCTAAATACATATTAATTAATTAAATTTTTCATTATACAAATAAAATCGTTAACCACAAATACAGTAGAGCGTCGGTTATCCGAAAAAATTCCATTCGGCAAATTTAAATTTTGGCTAGTGCTGTGGCGCTGCAATCTTTGGCTATATCTTGGGCTACTCCAATATTTTTTTTGTTGATGTGTGTGTTTTAGCTGGCAGCACTAGCACTTTTGTGTGGTGTATTCCTGAGGACTGTGTCGTGCTGAACGAAAGTTTTTGATACTAGATTAACTTCTAAAGTATAATTTTTTTTTGTTTTTATATTTTTCAATATATTTATTTTGTTTGTAAAAAATAAAGAAATAATTTTTAACGATACAATAGCCACGATTATTATTTTAAAAAGTTTACATTAGGCTTAACATCGACGAAAATTCAACGCGAAGCGACACGCAACGGAGAAAAATTTCAACATGGATATTTTTTGTACACAATCGGTTATCCGAAAAATAAGTTATCCGAACAATCTCAGTCCCCAATTGATTCGAATAAACGACGCTCTACTGTAATTAGTCACCTACAGGAGCTACCAGTGACGAGAAGCTCCACCAAAGGGCTTGTGGAAAAGTGATCCAAGAAGAATCGCCAACGCTCTGACTTATTTTCCTTATCTCCTTTCTTCTATTTTTAAAATTATTTGGTGTTAAATTTATACATATTGTGAGCAGTACAGAAGTAAAAATCACCGACATAGCAATGGTAAGCCACACTGTTGTTTCGAAAGGTGATAAAAATGCAAAATAATTTTGTTTAGTTTTTGCATTATATTTTGGCATTAATATAGTCAAACCTAAATCGTAGTAAGGAGCTGTAAAGGTGATAACTTGTTGCCTTTTCCAAGATATCGTCAAGGGAGCTAGTGCCAAATCTATTTTCTAAACATAAGAAATATTTTATAAATCTTAATTCGTGAATAAACTACGACAGGAGTATTAATTAATAGAGAACAATTTTTTATCTGTACCTTATCCATTAATTGTCTCACTAATCCATTCCATTCTTTTGTTTCGGGATTTTCAATTCCATATTCCTTCGTTTCGTGAAATTTAAAGTTAAAGTTAAGCATTTCTTGTAATTTTAAAAGAAGATCTATAAGAAGTCCTTCGTATTTAGAAGTTATATGATCGCCTGTTCTATAATAAGGATTTTTCATTATAAAGGGCTCAGCCTAAAAAGATATTTTGTTTTTAAATGAACTAATAATAATCTGTTACTTATTATATGTATCTGTTAGGCTCAACGACTAAAAACGCTCATTGAATGGAAAAATCGGCCAAAAGCTTCTCACGTACTGTACAGCCACAACGCGAATTTCGTGTCGTGCCAATTCGAAAAATGCGTTTTTAGCAATGTGAAAATGCACAACGCATTGTGAACGATTATTAATGCAGCCATGACGCAATATGATAAAAAATAAATAACAAAGTTTTGCACAGATATCTTTCATAAATAATTTATGTACAATTTTCATTAAAGGTCTAATTCCGAACAAATCTTATTATTAGAAAAATGGTCATCAGTGAAAGTTACTCTCATAAAACGTTATGAGAGTCATCAGATGAGCCCGGCGTTGCTCGGGCGAAAAGTAACGCTAGAGAAGATTAATATTATTAAATTATAGCCGATCTTACCCGTTTTCATCGGGTGCAAGAATTAGGTTCACTCTCTTCCGAGACTAATTAGAGAATTTTTAGATGGGTCAAAAAATACGTTCGATTTCGCGCAAACAACTGCATCTAAAATAGTACAGTAGTAGAAATCGAGTTCTTCAGGGTTGTCGTTAATGCTCTCCCTCTCTCCCGTGGGGACGAGTTTCGAAAACTCCCTTGGTGTACATTCTTGTGACGAACAGTAACCTGTGTACCAAATTTCAACTTTCAACTCCTAACCGTTTGGGCTATACGCTCATTATTATTATTATTATTAGCGAGGTTGCGACCGATGTTCACGTTTTAGAGATGAAAACGTCGGCCGCACCTCGCTATTATTATCAACCCATCTCGATTATATTATAAGATGTAACTGTTCATTTTCTTTTAAAATTCACAGTCAAGAAGACAACTTGCTGTTAATTGTTTTGTTTATGAATCCTCAATACCTATGTACGATACCTTTAAATCCTGGATGCATAAAAACAGTTTTATAGATTGAAGTTAAATCAGAAATTTATTTTTAAGTCGCTTTGTTAATTGATTGGAAATTTGTTTTTAATAATGACAGTTTTACAAGGAGACCAACTTTAATCAAATTTTTATATCAATATTAATAAAAAGGACAACGATAAATAGAAATTTCTGTCTTATAAATTTAAGACTTAGACATAAGATTAATGAGTTGATTCTAAATAATGAAGAAATTTGTTACTTATTTTAGCATAGATATTTTTATTACATTGCATCGTGGCTGCATTCATAACCATCCATAACGCGATGTGGCATTTTCACATTGCAGATCTCATTTTGATTGATTATTAAAATAATATCAACACAAGTTTCCCTTTCTTGTGTTACAGAATATGCATAGGGATTGTGCGCATTTTTGAAAGGGCCACAATACGAAATACACGTTGTGGCTGAATCTGAATAATCGGAACGCGTTGTCAGTTTTTTCGCTCAATAAGCATTTTTGGTCTTTTACCTTAACAAATATATTATAACACGACAATATATGATGTTGATGGTAATTAGATGAATCTTACTATACTTATTCCAATATTTAGAGTTTTTCCGTGAAGGCTGTGATGAGAGTCATCAGGAGGTTTCACAGTTTGCCCAGGAAATAAGATTTCTGAATTAATTGTCAAGTTTTTCTCGTTTCCTAACCATTTTCCTACCTAAATATTTCAGCGAAATTATTAGTTACATCTTAACATCGTCGTTTTAAGAAACTTTAAAAATTATAAATTGCTCACTTTAGCAAAACCTTTCACTTGAAGATTTTTGATATCAAAACTGGTCAGATGATGGTAACCATATTTCGTGAACATTACAGTTCCTAAACTTCCATTAACGTTATTCAAATTGAGGATACTTTCCAACAAATTTCTACCCCATTTCCACTCATTGACAGAATCTATGCAACTTCCTTTTTGAAAAGTAGGAAGTTCGAAAGATACTTTCTCTTCGTAAAGAATTCTGTGAAGTCCGTTGGCAATTGCTAACACTGCATCATACACACGAGTGAAAGCTTGCTGCAAAATCATTTTCATTAATTCATAAATATAAAGACGTAAATAGTAAAATAATTTCAACGGTTAATTTACCTGATTCTCTAATTGATTTCCCAAATTTTTGTTTTTTAATTGATTTACTAATTTAAAATATAAAATAGTGTCGGGAACCACAAATGCAGTTCCTATTAATCCGACTAAAGAAGATGGCACATATCCGTCATCGTCTGATAAGTATTTGAAACTCTGTCAAAAAATATTAACTATTATTTAGTAGAGTTATTTTATTAAACTGTAATTGAGGCGGAGCGTTAGCGATGCATCTTCTACGAGGCTTATATAATTGTGTTCGTTATCAAAATCGGTTCGATCGATTTTGTTTAAACTTTGCCATTTTCTATTAATTGAGACGAGGAATCCAAAAATGTAACGAGAATTCATTTAAATATAAAAAATAGTGGTTCTTGACTTCGTTTTCGACATATAGTGGAGTCAAAGTGACAATGCCCGTGCTTTCTCATGTGACTGAGCGCGACTAATGGTATGTAGGCATATGGGTCAAAAATAAAAACGATACTGCGTGTGCCTAACGGAAAATAGGCGTGAAAAACGAACAAAACTATTGATGGGGATTGCTTTCTTTTAGATCGCCTCTCAGTATCGGCAAGTGCAAGAATCGTCTTTCTGTACCCGTCCAGTGCAAGGATGGTGACTCCGTAATTATGCAGGAACAAAGAACGCATCTCTTCTGCCTAACAAGTGCAGGGATCGCTTTTTTCTTTCCGGCTCCGCCTCAATTCGATCGCGATACGATCAAGTTGCGCGATGTCCTAGTAGAATAATATGAAATACAGTAGACCCCCCCTATAACGCTTAGATACGTTCCACGTTAATCAAATTTTACGTTGTAGGAATGATTAAATACATGAGCCAATCGCAGCCCGATAGGTGGGAAGTTTACGGACTAAGGCTGTTTGAAAGGTTTTCTTCTATAAAATTAACCGATTCTAGACTAATTCCACTCAACATTTCCAAAACACGTATAATTTTTTGGGAATAATCCGTATAAACTATGCTATAAACAAAAAATTGTATGATTACTTACCGAGTGTGCACCGTTCGACTACGCCTTTGCTAAAGCTTGTTTTCGTCGCGGAACAGCGCACGATACGGCTGCCGCGATTTCTGATAACGAATTTTTCGCAGAAAAATAACTTGACCTTTGGAGACATCATTAATATAAATAATTTTTATGGCCGTTGAATAAGAAATGTTTCTTTCACAAGAAATGTATAAAATTAGTGCTGTATTAGACTTGCGGTACCTAATTTACATACTGTACAGGCGATAATAAACTCAACCTACTAGCCTAAAATCTCCGTAGCGTGGCGCCACGCTAAACGGCGGAAATTATATATTTAATTATAATAAAGTTACAATAAGTTAATATATAATTATATATACAGTACCTAATTTATATATAATTAATGTATAATTATATGTACAGTACCTAATTTATATATAATACTGTACAGACAATAGCAAACTCAATTTAGCCGCCTAAACTCTCCGTAGCGTGGCGCAAGGCGGAGGAAAGTAGTTCGACTGCTCATCCACTATTGGTCCAGATTCTATCAATCTTGTCGCGAAACGAGTCGGCGACGACGTTTTAGGAGCTCCTTTATACGAATGTTGCTACAATTTTTTCGCTACGTTATAGGAATTTCCGTTATAGGAACGCACGTTATAGGGGGTCAACTGTAATAAGTAACTTAAAAGTAATTCGACGTTGTTATTTACAAAATTAAAAAATTTA